TTTTTTTTTTTTTTTTTTTTTTTTTTATCGAAAATAAGGTTACAATCCAACTTTTTTCTTGCTTTTATGCTTTTTATAAAATTTTTATATTTGAATTTTATGAAAATTTAGTTATTAATGTAATATATAGTGTGGAAAAAAAAAAAACCCAACGACCTAATCTAATGCAACCCGAAAATAGAGGGTAAGGTTGAGTTAGGTTGCTAACTCTGACCCGAACATCTGAAAATTTTGGATAGGTGGAAAAAACAAACCATTTTTATGTTTTCATTTTATTCCTAATTTGAAATTTAAATTTTAAAATGATAAAAAACTTTAATAAATATAATAAACTCAATTTAATTTTTTTTAACCGAATTAATAATAATAATAATAATAATAATAATAAAAAAGAGATAATTTGTTCCAATATAATTTAAAGAATTAAAGGGAATAAAAATGGAAAGTTTTGGGAGTTAAAGTGGGTGGGGAATATTTTGGATAGTGAAAGAAGTGGGAAAGTTTGGTACCAAACATCATAATTGTTCATATTTTTGTGACAATATTTTTTAATTTGTAAAGTGAATTTTCGTTCATTTCAAATTGAGAAAGCTACCTCTCCAAAATAAAAACAAAAATTTTCTTGTCGACGACGCTCGTTAACTAATCGGGTATCAGTATTTTCTTATAAATTAGGAACGATTTTTTTTTTTTTTTTGTTGGGTTGGTTCATGAGTTTTCCGAGTGGAACAAAATTTGGGGTGTTAAGAAAATTCGATGATCAAAAAAATCTGAAGAAGGGTTATGAACAAAAATTCTTTGGGTTGAGTTCGTTCATGAGTTTTCCTAAAATCTGATGAACGGTTAGGAACAATTTTTTTTTGTTGGGTTGGTTCACGAGTTTTCCTAAAACTGTACGAAGCTGAATATAATCTGGGGTGTTTAGAAAATTCGATCATAAAAAAATCTGAATATTTATTGGGTTGAGTTGGATTGGTTCATGAGTTTTCTTTGTATCTCTTGCAATCTAGATAAGTTACCTACTAAGCAAAAACTATCCCCGATACCAACCCGAGTTATTTCAGCATGTTTTGTTCTTACTCACATATATCTTAGGAGATTTTTTAAGCATAGAGTTCTAATGATTGAGCCATAAAAAAGGAAGGTGTACATCTTTTTCTTAGTCATCATATCCTCAAGATCGCTCTCATAGGTTATGGTCTCAGTTCATTCACGTGCATATTCTTCACTCTAACATCACACCGAACCCTCCAACTTACGAACATTCTCATCATACTATTCCATAACAAAAACTTTCAAACCTAAACACTCAAGACCGTTATCAAAACCGTAAACCAAACATCCCTAGCTCACGGACACACAATCAAAGAGTTTCAACTAACAAGATCATATGATATCAATGGTGTATAAATGAGTATAAGGAGAGTAATGGCATTGATATCATGATAGGGGAATAATATTGGTGCATGGTACCGTCGCTACGCACAGAGATATGAAAGAATGGTAAAAGCCTGAGATTTTGCTTACACATCTTCTGAAAGAACACTGCCCCATTTGCTTAAACAAGAAGGCTTTTTGAGTTTCTATGAGATCAGAAGAACACAGCCACAAAGCTTCATAGCTTTTAGCTACCTTTGTCAGATCCCTCTCTCTCTCTCATCCTTTAGCCATCATAATCTTTGCAAAATATGATCATTGTTCTTACCAAATGCTTAATAATTATGAGTTTTTGTTGTTAATCTTGTTTGATCGTAATATTTTTAAGTATATTTGATAATCGTTTTGTTTTTTTGAGGTTTAAGTTCGTAAATAATTCTTTCTTTTGAGTTGTTCTGTCAGATCGGTCGTTCAAGACCTTTGGTCTCTATCCGGACCCGATGAAAAAAATTGGATCACTTCTTATGGACTCGTTGAGAATGATTCAGATCTAGTTCATGACATATTAGAAGTAGAAGGCGCTTTGTTGGGATTGGGATCCTCGCTGACAGAAAAAGATTGCAGTCGATTTGATAATGATCGGGTGACATTACTTCTTCGCCCCAAATCCAAGAATCCCTTAGATATGATACAAAATTGATCTTATTCTATCGTTGATAAGAGATTTTTTTATGAACAATACAAATCGAAATTTGAAGAAGTGGAAGAAGAAGTGTGGGTATGTTCGTTTATTTTGTTACTTTTAGTAAACGTCTTCAAAATCGAAGCTAAATTTTGAAAAATTAGTGCGTTTGATAACGTTTTTTCATATGTAACAACTCAAGTCCAACCATTAGTAAATGTTATTCGCTTTAGCTCATTACGTATCATCGTCAGCTTCACGGTTTTAAAACGCGCATGTTAGAGAGAGGTTTCCACACCCTTATAAAGAATGTTTCGTTCCCCCCTCCAATCGATGTGGGATCTCACAATCCACCTCGTTGGGAGCCAACATGATAAGTAACGGGCCAAATCGAAAAATATCTACTTGATACTTCAAAAAAATTACAAACCCATTAAACAGTTTTTAAAATTCACAAACTTGCATAACGGGTCCCCAACCCTTGGAACATACTACATCCCCAGGTGGCTAAGAGCCGACATCGAGATGCCAAACCTTCCCGTCGATGTGAGCTCTTGGGGAAGATCAGCCTGTTATCCCTAGAGTAACTTTTATCCGTTGAGCGACGGCCCTTCCACTCGGCACCGTCGGATCACTAAGGCCGACTTTCGTCCCTGCTCGACGGGTGGGTCTTGCACCCAAGCTCCCTTCTGCCTTTGCACTCGAGGGCCAATCTCCGTCTGACCCGAGGAAACCTTTGCACGCCTCCGTTACCTTTTGGGTCCTTAATGTTTTCTCGACTAAACCTAATCATTTCAGCGTCGAACCTAAATCATTTGCACAAAACTTCCCGACACTTCCAGACCCGTCTTTTCTTTTCTTTTCTTTTTGTGTTTTCTTGGCCAAACAAGAACCAATAAAAAAAAAAAAAAAAAGTTGGAATTTGAATAGGGTTTTGAGAATAATGAAAGAAAGAGAAAGAGAAGAGGTTTGTTTTGTTTGCTTTTTGAGAAATAAAAATGAAAGAACAAAAATTGTGACAAAATTATTGAGATTTTGTTGTTGTAAATAATAAAGAAACAACCAATCTCAGATTTCTACTCTATGCTTTAGCCTTTGTCTCTTTCTGTTCGCAATTTAACGTAGAAGACACCAACATGCAATTCACACAGACAAGATCTGTCTGTCCTTTACCTCAAAATTAAACATATCAACCCTACATATATATATACATATATATATATATATATATATATATATATATATATATATATATATATTCCTTGTCACAATCACACTTCTGAAGAAATCGGACTTGCACGGGTGCGACAAGCCAATTAATTCTTGCGTCGCCTAAAACCAAGCGACGTATGCTCGAACATCTGGCCCCGGTTTAAGAAGAAAGTGTAAGAAAAAGAAGGTGAAGAGATTTCGAAATTAGACAACGTATGCTTGAGTCTCTGGCCTCAGTTTAAGAAAAAAGTTTTAGAAAACAGGGGTAGATAGATTTCAAAATTAGGCGACGTATGCTCGAGCCTCTGGCCCCGATTTAAGAAGAAAGTTTTAGAAAACGGGGTTTGAGAGATTTTGAAATTAGACGACGTATGCTCGAGCTTCTGGCCTCGGTTTCAGAAGAAAGCTTTAGAAAACGGGGGTAGAGAGATTTTGAAATTAGGCGACGTATGCTGGAGCCTCTGGCCCCGGTTTAAGAAGAAAGTTTTAGAAAATGGGGGTAGAGAGATTTCGAAATTAGGCGATGTATGCTCGAGCCTCTGGCTCCGATTTAAGAAGAAAGTCTTAGAAAACGAGGATAGAGAGATTTCGAAATTAGGCGACGTATGCTGGAGCCTCTGGCCCCAGTTTAAGAAGAAAGTTTTAGAAAATGAGAGAGATTTTGAAATTAGGCGACGTATGCTGGAGCCTCTGGCCCTAGTTTAAGAAGAAAGTTTTAGAAAACGGGGGTAGAGAGATTTTGAAATTAGGCGACGTATGCTCGAGCCTCTTGCCCCGATTTAAAAAGAAAGTTTTAGAAATTGGCGGTAAAGAGATTTCGAAATTAGGCGACGCATACTCGAGCCTCTAGCCTTGGTTTAAGAAGAAAGTTTTAGAAAATGGGGTAGAGAGATTTCAAAATTAGGTGACATATGCTCGAGCCTCTCGCCTCGGTTTAAGAAGAAAGTTTTAGAAAATAGAGACAGAGAATTTCGAAAGAGAGTTTTGAAAGCAAGATTTAAGAGATTTAAAAAGGCAAC